GCATTTTGCCGTTCTTCCTGGCGAGGTGCAGGCACTCGGAGCCCAGGTGCCCTGGTCCTTCCAGCTCCGCCCCGTGGAGGGGGGAGTCCCTCCCCTGCCCCCCCATGCCCGGTAGCTGCATGGGGAACGCATCTCCACTGGGGCCGTATCGCTGCAAATCCAGAGCAACCCCCGGTACCTGAGACCTGCGTGTGTCCCATCGTCTCCCTGTTCTCTGCAGATCCCCTAGGCCACCCCGGGAAAAGCCCAGTGGCTGATGCGAGCAAGTCCGTGGAGGGGATGGATGGACCGGTGAAGAGAGAAGAAAAGAAGGTGAGTCCCGGCCTTTCTCCTGGGGAACGTCCTCTCTTTGGAGCGGACGGAGCAGGGACACCAGGAGGCATAGAGCTTGCTGGTGCATCTGTAGCTGGTGGGGCCGCAGGGTCACCATCCACCCAGCTGACACGGGGCTGGCCGCAGTCACTGGTTCTGGGGATTGCTGTGGTGCAGAGTAACCACGGCTATGGAGCCAGCTCCAGCACTGGGGGCCAAAACTAGGGAGCCTGGGGAGAACAAGCCAGAGGCTGGGGCTGCCATCTGCAGGGACCCATGAGTAACGTGTTCGCTAATTTTTTTCCACCTATGCACAGAATAAATTTTGTTGTGTGCACCCAGGCATGTGCAGATGTGCACCACTAGGAGAAACACAGGCTGCTGGCTATGGGTGCTCTGCTCCGGGGTGGCCACCCAAGTGCTCAGCTTACAGGGAACACTGCCCAGGAGCACGGGGGGAAGTGGGCAAGCAGTCGGTGGGTTCAGGAATCGGAGACTACCGAGCAGGAGGCAGGGAATGGCTGACCCTAGCCTGGGTTCTAGGAACTGGCCTGGCTAGGGGACTGGGACCAGGGCCGTTCTGGGACCCCAGGACTCTGGCTGTGATCTGATTTGGTTTCACCCACTTGAACCCTTTCTCTCCCCGACTCCAGATGAAAGCTGCTCGGCTCAAGTTTGACTTCGTGGCCGAGTCCCCCAAGTAAGTGGCACCTTGTGGATCAGGTCCCTTGCACGGGTCTGTTCCGATCAGAGTAGCCACCCCCCCCGTCCGCGTGGACCCTGCCGCCGAGGCAGCCAGGGAATGGGCTGGTATTTCCTCTCTCTCCTGGTTGGATTGAGTTGGTGGGGTTGAATCCTCGGGGGATGGTCCCTGGCGGGGTGTGGGGCACAGACCTGGCCTATGCAATGTGGGCGACACCCCCCCGGCATCAGGAGAAATGAGAGGCTGGCCCCCGGGCATCCAGACAAGGCCCTAGAGCCAGGGGCCACGGCGTGTCCTTGTGGGGGGCCGGGAGTCCCTCCCTTCGGGGCTGCTGGCGGGAAGGGCCCGGGGCCGTGACGCTCTACCTTGCCCTCCCAGGGAGCTGACCCTGCAGAAGGGGGACATTGTCTATATCCACAAAGAGGTGGACAGGAACTGGCTGG